AAAAATGATTCTAAAGCATCATTTTCCTGGAGCCAGGACCCCCTCTAGGTGATATTACGGCTCCCTAGGGGTCTAGGCTCAGGTCACGTCTCTGTGGTACACTGGAAAATACGTGGGGTGGGAGCTGGGGACATCAGGCTGGAATCCTGACTGTGCCAAAGCCAGACTTGTGACCTTGGGCAAGGGATCAGCCTCTGAGCTCAGATTTCTCAACTGTAAAGTGAGGCTATTAATACCTTTTTTTACAGGGTTGTTGTAGGGATTAAATGAGAAAATGTTTGTGAAAGAGCTGTGTGGTACAAACTGCCATGCCAATCCTCATTACTATTGTTATTATCTGTTGTTCTAAACGAGAGAAGGACTCTCTCTCTGTCAAATAAATAAATAAAATCTTTTTTAAAAAATAAATGAGAGAAGGAATACTATCAAGTCCCTTAAACAAGGGGATCCTCAGCCTGTCCCCTTCCCCCCTCAATTCTGCAGAGCCTCACCAGGTCCCTGCATCCCCATCACTTGTTCCCATCAGACCAGTCTCTTCTCCCGCCCCATACATGTTCCTCTGGCTGCGTCTCTTAAGGGACCCTCCCGCCTTGAAGGCCCCCTCTCTTCCTTACTCGTCCACACCCACGTCCTTCAATATCCAACTCCCAACCTACCTCCTCTAGATCTTTCCTCTGACAAAGGGGGTGGGTGAAGGCCAGTTTGCCCTCTTCCCCCAACTGAGGTATCTATAGCCCCACAACCCCAAGACAAACTTATCCTCAGTTCTGGGTAAATCTGGGTGGATGATGATGATGATGATGATTTATAAGATTTAATAATAAGAACAGCTAACATGTGCCAGGCACTGCGCTAAGCACTTTACATGTATTAACGCATTTATGGAGTGCTGGCTGGCCATATGGGATTGGACATCTGTCTCTGTCTCCAGAGCCCAGCACAATACCACTTCCTTGGTAGAACCTTCCCCATCGGGCCCAGGCAGAATTAATTTTTCTACCTCTGTGCCCACAGTGCCTGGATATTATTGACCTAATTTCACTAGCTTTTAATTATTTATCGAAGTCTCCCCTCCCACTCTGTGAACATCTTGAGGGCTAGAGCCCTATTATATCCCTCTTTATTCATCTTGGTGTCCAGCAGTGACTGTCACATAGTTGCTGCTCATTAAATGTTTGTTGAATGAATGCACAGATGGATGGGATAATTAATACCATCTCCCCTGATACACATGTGATTTTATAAGCTGCTCACTCCACGAGGCCATTTTCCTCACCTCATGCTTGAAAAGCATTCTAGACCAGTGCTACTCCAAGCATGATCTGTCTGCAAAAAATCTGTTGCCCGTCCATGACAAGGTAAGTGCAGACATTGACAGTAAGCATTTAGAAAATTTTAGGTAACTTGACAGAGTAGTTTTATGTCCACTGGATCTAATAGCTTTAAGAATTGGGCTTTTATTTTGTCTGTCTTTGTTATTTCCTTTCTCTAATAAGTCATCCCCACCATATTTTGTCATCATATCATTTTGCAACAGATTAAAATTTAAAAATCAAGAACCGGTTTTTCTGCACAATAGTCTGAGAAGTATGGTTCCATACCGTCAAACTCACCAGGATATCCAGGACTAAAGCCAGCAGAACCCCACAGGTAGACGGGGCATGCTCGACCCTCCCTCTCTGGGTCCCAGCCATCACTGCTCATTCACATCTGTCTCTCCTACTGTTGGGAAGGACATGGGAATGTCTCTTGTTCCTGTTTAAATTCCTCATTTTTCTCCTTTCTTCCAAATCTGCCGGGTTAAATGAATGAAAGCTGACTCTGGTCTGGGCCTGGATAGGAAGAGGAGAGGAAAAGGGAGGGGTCTGTAGAGAGTCTGGGAAGGGAATGGTCGGATGGAGGATGGAGCAGGCAGCTGCCCTGAGGAGGGTGGGGAGGCTGCTAAGGAGACCACCCGGAGCTGTCAGGCGGGCTGGCCAGGGCAGCTGGGGCTGAGATGGGGGGAGGGCACGGAAGACCTCCTACTGGCATCTTCACCAAGCCCAGGAATGAGAGCCAGGCTCTTGAAGGTGGAAGGAAGCAGTTTCAGGACAAATGAAAGGGAATGTGGAACCCTTTTACTAAGGGATGTTGAACAGGAGGCTCTCATTACTCCCCGAAGCAAGTGGTCAAGGCCAAAACTATAAATAAGTAGGTAATGGAGTGATACAGAAGCCCCCCTCTGCTCGTCCCAGAGTGGGAGTGGGGTGTAGATGTTCAGTCCGTGAAATCAAGAGAGATGATCAACTTGGGGGTAGGGGGAGGAATTGTACCATCTGTAGATGCTCTTTTAGAAAAAGAAGGTCTGAATCCCACACCAAAAAGGCAGGAAGGGCAAGGCTTCATTACAGCCTAATCGATGGCATTAGCATATTTAAAGATCAGGTCAAGGGCAGGACAATGGGACTCTGAAAGGCAGAATTTGATGGTGTTTATGAAACATACAGAAACACAGAATCTGGAAATCTGGAGCTGTCTGGTCCCTGGAGAGTCAGCTCTAAGGTTGGGCAGGACTTAACAGGGCCTGGGCAAACCTCCCTGAGGGCCCACCAGCTTATGATCCTCTGATTTCACAATTCACTGCTTCTGTGACCTTCTAATCAAGAATTCTGCTCCCACAAAGAAATTGCCTAGAAAGGAGGGACCATGAGGCCCATACATTTGAGCATCAGGTCCACTCAACTATGATAATGGTGGTGGTGGTGGTGGTGATGGTAATAGTGACTATTGCTAACCTTCACTAAGCCCATGCTCTGTGCCAGGCACCGTTCCAAGCCATTTACAAATATTAACTCATTTAAACTGACCTACAACCTTATGAGGTAAGCATTCCTACCCCCATTCTATAGATAAGAAAATTGAGGCTCTGTTAAAGAATTTTTCAGGTTTATACAGCTTGTAAGTAGAAGAGCCAAGACTCAAACTCAGGCTACATGACTCCAGAGCGTGCACTAGGCTAGACCACTCTGCATTTAATTTTTGTTGAGAATAATAACACATTGACAATCTGGCTGGTGCATCCATCTCTTTCGGGCTTGGGTGGGATGAGTCTGTGCTGGATTCAGCATAACCAGCTCGCAGCACTAACCTAATGGGGGTTTTGCAGGACTCAGGACTGTGTGCTTCATCTAGGAAGTGCCATCCTGTGTGGCTAAGCCAGTGTGACCAGCTGGCTTCCTGGGCAATGCCCCTCCCCACTTGAGAGCCCCAAACCCCTTCAGAGCCCCAGCCTCCAGGCACTTAGAGCTGGGAATCAGGAACCTGAAGTCAAGGCTCAACAGCTATGGGACTTCAGACAGGTCACAACCAGTCTGCACCTCAGTTTCCCTGAAAGCAAACTGTGCATGTCGAATCACACTACCTCTTACAGTAACTCCCTTTCTGAGTGAAGAATCAGCTGGACCCCTGAATGCGCTGGTTCTTGCCTAATGTGATGAGAGGTGGGTGGAGGGGGGGGCGGGTGTGTGTGTGTGTGTGCAGCAGGGCACGGAGTCCAGGGCAGTTAGGATCCGAGTTTGATTTCAAAGTCGGCTCGCCACCACTCTGGGACCGTGCTCTGCCTGGGAGTCCTCGGGCTTGCTCTGAAGGGGCTTTGCTTGGCGCTGCAGGCTGAGGCTTTGCCGGGTGGCTCCACCACTCTCTTCAACTTCTCCGTGAAGAAAGGAAGGCGTAGGAGAAGTCAAAAATTCTGTCCAAATGCAAGGGCTGGAGAGGAAAGTTTAAGGGGCTGGAGGAGGTGGGAGCTGCTTCCCAGAGCTGGGGGTGGGGTAGGGAGCTAGAGAGCCAAGCCAGCTGAAGACCCCGAGGTCTGGCTGGGAGGCTGACCCCTCCCCCAAGGGTCTGGCCGACAGGGGGCGCTCGGCCTCCTCCACGCCCTGCTCTCTGGATGCCTAGCTGCTTTCCCCTGCTGTAGTGCTATGCGCGCACTGCTCTCCCCTCCACGGTGCTCAGATGCCCGCTAGTCCTTCAGGGCACCGCCGTCTCCCCTTCGTCTTAGGGTTCCCAGGTTCAGCCCCTTGCCTGGACCAAACTGGGCAGGCGCTTAGTTTGTGGAATGAATGAATGAATGAATGAATGAACGAACGAACGAATGAATGAGAAGGATTCGTCCCGCAGAGCTTCGCGTCTCTGCGCGCACCTGGGGTGTGGGTGCCAAAGGTGCTGAGGATTCAACGCCCGGACCCTGCTGAAGTGGGGGCGGCGCGGACCTTCTCCCGGCCGGCTGCAGGGCGGGAACTGCCCAAACGCAGTGCCCTGCTTCACCCGGTTTCCGCGGCGTCTCTGCCCGTTCGGGGCTGCCCAGTTCCCCAGTCTCCAATCGCCTCGCTCTGATAGATTCACCTGAGCCCCCCAAGTTCCCCCAGACTCCCTGGACTCCCCAGACCCCGACCTCAAGCCAGGCGGGAGGAGGGAGGAGGGAGGCGGGAGGCTGCCTCCTCTCCCGCCCCCGCCCTCCCATCCCGGGCTGCGGCGGCCGCCACCGCTGTCAGTGCGTCCCGCCGACTGCAGCAAACCCCGGCGCAGGGAAAGGGGGTCAGCAAGGCGAGCGCGCGGGGAGCCAGCCCGGGAAAGGGGGGGGTCGGAGGAGGCGAGGGGGAGCGAGCAGAGGGGCGCGGCGCGGAGGAGGGACCGAAGGGGAGGGGAGAGGCGAGGGCGAGAGGGGAGGGGACGCTAGGCGAGGGGGCGGGGAGTCGAGGCGGGTTGCTGCGCTGACCGAGGGGGAGGCGGCGGGGACGCGAGGCGGCTGTCGGCCCGGCTGAGTCTGGCAACGGCGGCCGGACTTGCCCGGGCCGGGGAGAGCGGGAGCCCGCGGGGCCGGGCCGGGCTGCGGGGCCGGAGAGCGCCGAGCCGGGCACCTCGGAGCCGGGCAGCGAGACACCGGGGCCCGGCCGCCCAGCCCGCGCCGCGGCCCCAGCCCGCCACAGTCGGCCGGCCCCTCTGGGATGTCCGAGGGACCCAGGCGTCCGGGACGGTGATCGAGCGAGCCCGAGGATGGGACGGCGCCCGCAGCTGCGGCTCGTCAAGGTAAGAGCGAGCCGGTCAGCCCTCGAGCGCGGGCGCCCCCAGCCCTGGGCCGGCGCGGGACGCGGGTGGGCTGTGGGTGTAATGGGGGTCCCTGGGGAGGGCTGTGCACAGGTCCCTGTCCCTGGACCTCTGGAGCCGGCGTGGCGGGGGTGGGGAGGACTCAAGAGAAAAAAAGACATCATTGTGGCGAAGCTGCTGGGATGTTGGCGGAGGAGGGGGTCCGCCCACCCGGGCCACCGGCTGTGTGCGGAGAATCGCTTAAGGCTTTGGGAGTGAAAACTTGGTTCCACCGCTCCCCCCACCCCCCGATGCAGACCCCGACCCCGGGACAGGCGGCTCTGGAGGTGGGTTCCCCACCGGCCCCAGCACCCTCTCACCAGCTCCCCCACTCCGCCCGCCCCCGCCCTGTTCTTGGGAGCTCCTTCCTGCCCCTTCCCCTGCTCGGAAAGCTGCGAGCCCGGGGAGATAAATGTCCCCCGTGTCTCCCAGCCTTTGATCAATCTCGCAATCTCCGGGGAGGAGACGGTGCAGCCGGCGGCGGTTACAGCCCTGCGCGGCAGCCGGCCGGCAGGAGCCCAGCGCTCGCTGCCCGAGCCTTTGCACTCGCGAGTCCCTGTGCCGCGCGGGCGGCCGCGCCTGCTTCTCCTGCTCCGGGTCTGGCGACGCGATTCCGGCGCCCGGAGTTTCGAAAAAGTCGCCAGACCGCACGTCCAGCGTTTGCAGGCTGAAGTTCGGGGGCGACGGGGAGTGCCCGCGGGCTGCGTCGGCCGGGGAAGGGCCGGGGTATCGTCAGTCCGGCCCGCCGGTAGTGACAGGCGCCACTTCCAGGGCCGAGCGCTTCCCAAAGCGGTTCGGCTTGCCGGGTGTAGGCGCGTAAGCAGCAGCCGGAGGGAGAGGTGGGTGGGCCTGGGCACCGCTGCCCGGGAGCCCTGACCTCGCCGGAGGATCCGGACTCTGCAGGGTCGGTGTGGATGGCCTGGGCTACAAACACAGACCACACCAGCTTCACTGGGTCCGGGGCATTTAAAAGCGATTACGTTGAAAAGAATTGAATGGATTTGGGGGAGGGGTGCGAATTTCATTTTTCCATCAGTTATTAAACCAACTGTACGTATACCAGCTCACAGTGGTTTGACTTAAAGCACCCAAATTTTAAAAATGTAAAAGCTGTCAGTTGTTCAATGGAGACGTTACTGAAGCTTTCTCCGTCCTCTCTCCCTCCCCTCCTAAATATTTATAAGTGGTTTTTTTAAAACAGCTGAGGGATGGTCTGATTGAACCCATATCCCCTCCCCCACCCATTAAGTGAGGACTAGGGGTGAACCCAGAGATTATTTTCTGGGTGATCAGGAGACGGGGGGAGGGAGGGAGGAAGAAAAACATCTAGGGAGGTAGAATAGATGGTATTGAATGAGAATATTTTCCGAAAGGCTAGTGTGTACCCAACCTTGCTCTGAATTCACTAATCAGTTAGACTGAATAGGATCTTTTAAATGGATTCAAAGAACTGAACTGTAGGTTTTGTTTTGTTTTTTAAGTTTACATGGTAATAGGTAAATGTTCTTTCTCAGAATCCTGGGCAATTCTCTGCTTAGAATTGTCACGTTTTTCTACAAGAAAAAAGGAATATTTTTTTCTTGTCGTTATGTGTGTGTTTTTCCTTGTATATGGTGAGATGTGTGTTTCTCCTACTAGATGGTGAGGTGTGTGCCCTGTGTCCAATAAATACCGAATGAGTGAGAGGCAGTGAATGAATGGACAGCTAATGCTGGTTTCAATTAAATAATTACTTTTTTCCTTCTATTTATGTAGCATGTACAAGTTGCTGGGTGTTGTTCTACCTGCTTTGCAAATATTAAGTCACTTAGTCTTTATAACAGCCCTAGGAAGTAGGGATTACTACTGAGGCACAGAGAGGCTAAGTAACTTGTTCAAGGTCATACAGCCAGTGAGTAGTGAGTGGAACCAGAATTCAAACCTAGGCACTGTTCTAAGGGTTTGTTAGCTTTGATCAGCAAATATTCAAAGCCACTTAAATCTCATCCTAGACCTCTGCCAGATGAGAGCCCAGGTAGTTCTGTCAGTTTAAATGTAGGGGAGTTAATCCAACATCCAGCTCGGCCCCCAACAAGTCAGCCAGCGTTGGGAAAGGACCCACTCCGGGGCACTTATTGTGGGGTTAGCACTGCCCTGGTTACAGGGGACTGGGTGGAAAGTGTGGATGCAGAGGAGGAGACAGGTGAACTATTGTCTCTGCCCCCAGGTGAGAGGGGAATGGAGCGCCTCTGGGTCACCTACCCACCAGCTGCAGCTCCTCGCAGGGAGACCCAAGTGTGGCTCGGCTCCCAACGGTGGGCTCCAGGTGGGCTGCAGGTGTGAGGGTGGAGAAGGCAAAGCCTGGTGGGATAGCAAAAGAGATTGAGTTCTGAAGCCGGCGCTGGTTTTATTGCTATTGTTCTTTTTTTTATTTTTTTATTTTTTTTTAAAGATTTTTATTTATTTATTTATTTGACAGAGAGAGAATGAGAGATAGCACGAGAGGGAAGAGGGTCAGAGGGAGAAGCAGGCTCCCCGCCGAGCAGGGAGCCCGATGTGGGACTCGATCCCGGGACTCCAGGATCATGACCCGAGCCAAAGGCAGTCGCTCAACCAACCGAGCCACCCAGGCACCCCTATTGTTCTTTTTTTTAAAAGAATTTTTTTTTATTTATTAGAGAGAGAGAGAGAGCACAGCAGGGGAGGAGTAGAGGGAGAGGGAGAAGCAGACTCCCTGAGAACAGGGAGCCCGATGCGGGCCTCCGTCCCAGGACTCCGGGATCATGACCTGAGCCAAAGGCAGACGCTTAACCGACTCAGCCACCCAGGTGCCCCCTATTGCTATTGTTCTTATCATAAGAGCAATCTAGTAGCATCACACCATCTAGAAACCAGAGGGGGCAATTATTACCCCCTCGCCCTCCTCACACAGCCACTGCAATCATTTTTGAGGTGATCCCTGTAGGCCCTTTCTGGGTACCCTTGTGGCTGTTGGGCACACCCTCGTACTATGTCACAGCCTGAGTCTGTCCCGGGTTATTCCCGAGCCTCCGGAGGGAGCTTGTCAACATCTGCGTATTGCTTGTACATGGATATACTTTGGATCCCGAACCGGCACATATTTGGACCATTTTCAAATTCTTTTTTGACAGATACTACAGAGCCACTTTCTGAGGGGCGCCTTGGTGGGGGGGGGCATGGGCTGCCACAGACCAGGTACAGAGTAGGAGAGTGCGGCTGAAAGGCATCCAAGGCCTTTCAGATTCTATATGAGTCTCTAGGGAGAGGGTCAGTCCAGTGGAAAAGCAGACCTGTGGAAAAGCAGGACACTGACCCAGAGCCTGTGAGGATCAGCTCAAGTGGAAAATCCATTTCTCACCCTCTCTGACATTTGCCCCTCGGGGAGCATCAGCAACCAGCAGGGTTCAGCTGCACAGAAGAAGGAGTTTGGAGGGTCCAAGGTGCCCCCTGGCAGCACCCCACGCACCCACGATGCATGCCGAGCCCAGGGGCCCTAGCCCTGGCCACGGTGTGGCCTGGAAGGAAGGCATTAGGCACAGGGCTGATCATTTCTGCAGTTATTGGGGTGGAAAGGCCATCAGCCTGGGATTTGGCAAACGTGACTTGGGTCTCAGCTGTGCCTCTAATCAGCTGTGTGACTTAAGGCAGTTCACCTTCCCTCTCTGAGCTGCAGTTTCTCTGTCTATAAACAGGGGTATTGGACTAGATTCCCTGGTACCTTTCACATCTCTGTGAAGGATCTGTTCCCAAACGCTCCTTAGGGCCATGACTTTCTCCGGGAAGAGTGGGCTACAGCGGAGCCACTTCCCAGCTCTGTCCTCCCCAGCTGTGGGACCTTGGGACTTGGCACCTGGACTCAGTACCCTGTCTGAGCTTGAGTATCTCCAACTATGAAATGGAGGCAGGACCTAACTCACGATGCTGAGGTAAGGATGAAAGAGTTAATCCACGGAAAGTACCTGAAACGGCACCTGGCAGAGTTTGTTTTCAGAAAACATTGCAAGGTGACTGCTCTTCAGACGAAAGGGGATAATGTAGGAAAAGCAACTAGGAAAAGCTCTTGGACGCTCAATATATAGCATTTTTGCATCTTTCACTTTTCACAGCACCAAGCCTAATAATCCACTGCACGTAGTGGTCATTTCATGAATGTTTGTTGATTGGATGGTTGGCATTATTGTTGCTTTTTCCAGCTTGCTAGTGTACTATCAGGGTGGACCAATTGCTGTTCCCACGAGATGCAGATGTCATGTCAAAATCACCCTAGCAGAAAAGCCATCTCGGGGCACCTGGGTAGCTCAGTCGGTTAAGCCTCCGACTCTTGATTTCAGCTCAGGTCATGGTCTCATGGTCATGAGATGGAGCCCCACTGGCTCTGCACTGGGCGTGGAGCCTGCTTGGGATTCTCTCTCTCTTCCTCTCCCTCTGCCCCTCCCATCCCCCCTCTCTCCCCTTAAAAAAAAAAAGAAAGAAAAGAAAAAGAAAAAGCCATCTCTGATGCTCTGATGCAGAAGACAGGAACTGCCCCTTAACTCCACTATTTAAAAAAGGAAGGAAGGAAGGAAGGGAGGAAGGAAGGAAGGAAGGAAGGAAGGAAGGAAGGAAGGAAGGAAGGCAGCAAGCAACAAAGAGCCAATGCAGCATCCCAGGGATTTAGAAGCTCCGTTGAGGGTAGAGCCTTGTCTGCTGAAGCTCGAGCCCCTTTGCTGTGTCTGGAGGAGAGCTAGTTGGTAGCAGGTGACCTGGGCCTTTCTTGTTTCCTCCTCTGTGCAGAGAGGGGTGGGGGTGGTGATGTCTCCCAGTTCTGACTCTCCCCTAACCAACCCTGGAATCAACAAAAGGAAGAGTGAGCCCATTTTGGAGCGAAGGCCAAATCTCAATCTTAGTTGCAGTTTCACATTCAAAGAATGAATCTGTTAATTACAAATGACTCCTATAAAGTC